CGCTATTCTTACAATACATTATTTTCCAAATACTCGAGTACTCAAAAACGTGAAACGCCCATCTATATCTTGAGACAATCACAAACTGGGTGCGATGTGGTATTAGACTGGGTACACTGTAAGTTTCCTGTGCATCAGTTTCACAAAGACAACAACCATCAATAGTAGACCTAGTCCCTGATGGACGGAAGAATAGTACATCTAATCCTGACTACAAAACGGCATGCTAATCATAGTTATCATGTTACATATGCCACATGACTGTATAATAAATACTAGCGTTGTACACTAGCAGTAAGAATGTTTATTATGCAGCCTCGGCATAGCAGGCTACTATTTAACATGCTGGACATACTAACTTTGAGAGGGGAACAGCGAGTCTGTGACAGGACAATCGTGTCGCGGCTACACACACTTCTTTATATGTTGCCTGATAATGTTATAATGGCATCAGCAAGCATTCAACAGGCTGGAGCTGCAGAGAAACAAACATGTCCTGCTGCCTGCGACTTCTCACAATGTTATCAAGTGAAAATGGAAACAATGACATTAAATAACTATTTGGGCAAAAATGTTTTTCCTCTATCTATCCAAAAGCTAACTGTGCTAACATTGTGTTGTGTTGTGTTGTGTTGCAAGTCATTCTGATTTTCCCTGGTCACAGTCCAGGCGTGTTTGCCAAGGCAACTCGGGCGGTAGGTGTGACTCACTGGCCAGCCGCGTGGATCTACTTCGAAACATACCGCTTGCTTAAAAATGTCCTTTTTGTTTCAATTTATAAAAATGTTTCACTCTTTATTATTCCTTTACGCTTCGAGCCTTGAAAAACTGGATTGATGAAAGCACTTATGTACCTTGGATTAAAATTGAAAGAAGTATAGTCCAGTGTTTCCCCTACCATTGTCTTGGAGGGGCGCTGCGCCCCGCCAACGGATCCCCGCGCCCCCCCCTGAAATTCAAGGTGTTTCTACAACATTTTTAAAAATAATTTTTAATCTTTTTTTATATATATATATATATATATATATATATAGCACCAAATTGCAACTAATCTATATCTACTGTCACTTTTCACATTGGACATGTGCTCTTTCATTAAATAAACTAAACGCTTTCATTTTAAGTTGTGAGTTTAGTGTTTTTGACCCTAAGAAACACTGATGCATTAATCAACAATAATCCACAGCTCCTCTCGAAATGCTGCACCCTAATGTTTATTTTGTATTTATTTGAGTGAATACATTATTCACAGTTTAATAATAATTTAAAAAACCCAAAAAATATTTTATGTTTTGTGATCATTTTTTCTGCTGTACCGAACCGTGACATAAAAACCGAGGCACATACCGAACCGAAATGTTTGTGAACCCGTTACACCCCTAGAACGCAGATCTAAAAAACTACATGCAGACTATCGATTGGAAGAGAATATGGAATAATATCTCCTTAACATCGCGTAACCACAATCACCAATTGATACAGTATAAAATGATACACAGATATTACTTGTCAACCAGAAAATACTGTCAATTAAGGATGATTCCAAGCCCCATATGCCTTCTATGTAACCAAAACAAGTTATTGACATTGTATCTGAGATTATTGGAGTTCACATACCCTGTCTCCCAAATATTGTTAAATGATGATTCTCGCTTTTCGCTGGTCTAACAGCAGCCAAAAAGATAATTGTAATACGATGGAAACCCCTACATACTTTATTTATTAAGCAATGGATATCATCCTTCCATGACCTACTAATCTCAGAGCTGTCAATCGCTTCTGCTACTAAGGCTAAGGGGGAAACATTAGAGGCTATTAAAAGAGCTGCTGATCTGGTATTCATGTAAATTAAGATTGTACACCTTGGTGCAATTGTAGATTATTAGGAGTCAATCTCAATTCAGCTTAAACAGATGAAATGTTATGGGAAAAAAAGAAGAAAATTGTATGAATGTGTTTGATGTGGATAAATTGTTATGCTATAATATAATAGATGGATTCACTCTTAAGAAGCCGCCTTGGAAAAACCCTGACTGTACAGTAGGAGCAGTCTTAAAATAACAGCGTACAGTGGTCAAAACTCTGCGTCAGCACAGAACCCGAGTACCTGCAGTAAAGCAGAGGCCGCAGGCTTCATCCAATGTGCGTTATTCATCACGGCTTGATCCCTTAAATGTCAAGCACTGTGATAACAGAACATGATATGGTAAAGTGACAAATATAAAACAGTGACCGCCCTGAGTGGGGGTAGTTTAGTGTTCAGTAGTAGTGGTCTTTATTCGCTAATCCTTTTACTTTGAACTTTTTGCCCTGATCATCTACACTAACCATTTGCCAAGGTCATACCATGCCTATCTTCATAAACCCCACAGGGTCTATAAAGTTCTACAACTTTATTAGAATTAGAGCGCATTATCTTGAGCTCGCTGTGTGAATGTTTTTCAATAAAACACGAGCATTAGAAATTGGATTCAGCTTTCTATTCAGGGAAATAATGACATAGTAACAGTCAGAGTATTTCCCCCAGGAGAGGAGAGAAGAGGGGGGAGCAGGGAGCAACTCATCTCCTGGGGGGTCAGTCTCATGTCACAAGGTCATGGTGATCAGATCTGGTTAAAAGGAGGGTCGCACGCAACCCAACAGCCGAGCTGGAGCATGGTTGAAATTGCTTTGGGTTGACGCAGGCTTCTTTTTAAGAACAGCACACAGCAGAGTAACGGTTAGAGATATCTACCAGGGTGTTAGGACAACTTTTAAATGATACTGCTCATTGTCTCAGAATGAAAATGAAACTACTTATGGAAACATGTCTCATTGAAACAAAAGCTGTCCAGTTTCCTCTCCTTCGCACTGCCAACCTAGAGACACACCGGTCTTCCTGTCAACATAGGAATGCCCTGTCCAGCTGTGCGTGGTACTGAACTGCATTTACCGCTGCAGCAACACTTTGTACAGCTCTCTCTCTACGGCCAGGTTAGGTGTGACAGTCAGTCTCTATATAGATGATTCAGCAGCACAGTTCAACTTTACACACTTCATACTGCCGAGTGCCGACACGGTCACGATCCTCACAGGGTTAGCCAGATGGCTACAGCTTCCATACAAACATCTCATTACTCTACAATAATAAGATTGAAAGCATTAATATGTCATGTAATAAATACAATTTTCAAAAGTATGTGTATTTGCATTAAGCTGCCGGATGTGTTTATTGGATTGGTAAAATGTGAAAACCTGCGCAGTGTGTTATACAGTTATAAGATTTGTTGCTTTTTCAACATTAAGGTTATTTGGGAAGCTGTAATGTGTGCTGCCAGCTAACTAACTGCATTGGATTATTCTGAGAGCAGGGTGCAAAATGAATTTAAAAATAAATAGTATTAGTAACATTTCTCGAGAAACTATTCATTGGTTTTAGCTGTATTTCAATAATGAGAAAAATGTGTGCAGGTCTGAATGGTGTATTATAATACTAATAAAATATAATTGTGAAAATATTGATTTAATTAAATATTTTATCAAGCATTGACTCATATGTTATTGATGACACACCTCTGTTCGTCATAAACTTGCCGCTATAAAAATGCATATTACAGGAACTCCTCCTTGCTTTACTTGTTGTTGTGCTCCCTATCTCTGTTTCTTATCCTATATCTAATAGAACTGCTCGGGTCTTGATAGATTGAGTGGGGAAGTTCATGAGATCTTTCTAGAGGGTTATCAAGAATAACTTTTATCCAATGACCTTTTCCCTCTCTGTCTGTGTCTGTGTATTCTCTTGTTCCGATTAACCCAGCCAAATCTTTTTTCTTGTTTTGTATCTATATCTACGCCGGGATCCGGAGTCGAGGCTATCCTCTTGCTGTAGTCCTGTGTCTTGGATCCTCTATCCTGAGTTCTGGATTAAGTCGTGGATTTCGGGTCGTGGCTGAACCTGTCTCTGCGGTCCTGCCTTGGGTCTCGTCATGCTGCTTCCCTGATAGCTTCCACAGGATTGTAGCTGACATCCTCGTGGATTCATCTTCTTATTACAGACACATGCATTTCCTAACATTCGGTCTATATGCTGTCAAATGTATTATCACTTCGATTTACACACGGCATCTATTGCACGTCTGTCCGTCCTGGGAGAGGGATCCCTCCTCTGTTGCTCTCCCTGAGGTTTCTCCCATGTTTTCCCTTTAAACTGTGGGTTTTCTCTGGAAGTTTTTCCTTGTACGATGTGAGGGTCTAAGGATAGAGGGTGTCGTTTTTCTCATACTGATATTCTGAACAATCTGTGCTGTTGTATTAGCTGTAAAGTGTCTCTACTGTAGGCTATTTTTATTATATGTACAGCACTTTGGCTCGACCAAAAATCGTTTATAAATGTGCTATATAAATAAAACTTGATTTGATTTCAGTGGAAGCAGTTTCTGTCACGTAATCCATCAAAACTATGGATTATTGCATATTAGTTCAGGTGTAAGTAATGTACTAGTTGGATGTGTCTTTATTACAACTGGCATCATCAATCTTGTGTCCCTAATGGTGCCGCAGCAACATGGATGCATGTGTTGTGCAAATGAATTTAACATTAAAAACAAATCTAATTTCAGCAGCCCTAGTGTATTAATGGACAGAATGATGTGTTGAGAAAATAATCCATCAGGGAATTAGCCACGCTTTAACCTGGAGTTAGAGGACTCACTAGCCTCTTACACCTAAAGGCAGGTCTAATTAGCAAACATAACCCAGATATTGAAAGTAATGGTACCTTGGTGACAGAATGGAAATGCCTGATTCTTCAACACTGTCAGATGCCTTCAACACTTACTCTTCATTTAGTCATATACAGCCAGTCTACTGCGGGTGTTTAACCACCTTGCTGTGTGACAGGTGTAATTCAGCAGACCAGCATAAATCTGGCTCCTGAGGGACAACACTGCAAACCACTGGCGTAGAAAAAAAGAAGCCTACATTCAAAGTGCTGGCTGTGTGTTTTCACCTGCAATACTTACTTTTGTCCTTCCATTTATTGTGTAGTTTCCCAATTTGCCGTTACAATGTCTGACCAGGTCGTCCATACGACTCATCAGAAAGCGGATCTTCTCGCAGCCGTGCTCCCTCCCCTCTATCCACGTGATTTTGTCCCCTCGGATGTCTTTAGTAGAGTCGCTTTTTTGACTGACCAGCTGTCCGTCTGTGAACTTGCCCGTTTTGTGCAGAGCTTTAACATTATCCAAAATGCCAAGCCCAGTCTCTGCTCCTAAAAAGTTGTCCACCACACAGATACCGTGCTTGTTCATACACGGGACTATGTACTCCATGGCAAGTTTCTGAGGGGATGAGCTAGTTTGTCCGTTAGGTGTGGCGGTGTTGTTGGACACGACCTCTCCCGGCCCGTCACCGTCTCCGGGTGATTCTGTGTTTGAGTTTTGTGATAAAGACACACTGTTCGCCTGTTCGGGGCTTGTCTTTTCCCGGTCTTTCTCCTGTGCCTCGTCGTCCCCCGAAGGCGCAGGCTGCTCGGGCTTCTGTTTGGGAAGCTGCGCCTTGTCCATACACATTAGCCTGTGTTTCTTCCAGTGCTGTTTCTGGTGCTCCTTGCTACAGTAGAAGGAGCTCCGGCACCTACCACACTTAAGGAGGTTCTCCATTTCCCCACAAAGTTCACAGTACTGTCGCTCTCGTTCCAAATCGCTTTGCTGCTTCTCCATGTTTGCAGCTACAGCGAGTGCACTGCACCTTTAATTCCGATCCTTCACACGCGCCCTGCTAACCGACAACTTTGGAAACGATCCCCTGCCGTTGCCACGCTACACCGAGCGATACGGAAAAGTAAGAATCAAAACCCCGCCATAGTATAACACGTACTCCCTCTTTATATCTTGTATCAGTGAAATAATTCAACAACGGGAGCCCTGGACCGAACATTTCGGGCTGGGTCGGGCTCTTCAGAGGGCTAGCTGTCGGTCCGAGGGCAGTGCATGGCGCCGCTCCGTGTGTGCTCTGCTGGTCTCTCTCACGTACACACTCAAGCCCCGCCCCTGTCGCGATGCCTTCGTGGGCTGTCAGACAAATGATGGTTTATAAAATGGCACTACACCACGTGGAAACAGTTAATCTGTCAGGTCAGGAGAATATAGGGAGCATGTCCTCGCCTCACCTATGTGTGTGAAAGTCTGGTCAATAAATAAAAGAGTCATAAATGTAATCTTTTTTATATCCGTCCAGTTCTCTGTGATCATGTAACCGACAGTTTGGTGGTAGTGAAAATTACACAAGTGCAAATTGTAGTGTGCTTAACTATGGGCAACATTTTAAAAAGCTATTTGTAGTGAGCTTTTTCAAGTGTATGCTACCCTATATATCCACAACATTTGAATTATTGCTTTTGTATAAACTACCCAACATAATAGAATATTTAAACTAGCTCCACCCTAAAACTACCTGATTACAATGCTACTTACACACAAATGCCTATATCCAACAATATACACATTATATACAATTTATCTGAAATGGAATATCCTGCATGATGGGTGATTTTATTGTCGTTGCTAAAGAATATTTAGCAGATGATTTACTTATACTTGTTTGAACTTTTAAATGAAGCACTTTTACTTTTAATTTAGTTGATTTAAAATCTGTTATTGCTACTTTTACTTAAGTGAAGGATCTGAATTATTGAATCAACTCTGCATACAGAATAGAATAAATACAGTTGAATTATTAAACCTACATATTACAAAAACATACTTTCTTTCTGTCGTTGCCACCTCAACCATGGCTGATGTAGAGCTAGAGGCCTATATTTAATATTTAACACCAATATGACAAAATAAAGGATGCACTTTCATTAACATTGGATCCATTCGTATGTCCAGAAAACGTGTGTTTTGGGAAAACAATTGTGAAGTGCATCTGCAACTCAAGCTGGAAAAGTGATGTAAGCCTAATATAGTTTTAGCTTTGGGCATCACTGACATGTGTGATACACACTTTCCTTCCTGTAGTAGCAGGACGTACATCCCTGCAGCTTGATTTATAAAATAGGTTACGCATGACAAAATAAAATAATTCAATAACAGAGGCATTGGGAGAAGCGAGCAGGTCGAAAGCTCGAATGAAAGAGCTTGGAGGGAGCCCTTGAAGGCATCATCATTCAACGTCAACGTCAGTGTGATTTGCCCTCATTCCTGCTTTACATGTGTGAAATTCCTTTCACACAACAAAAACATGTTTTGCATAAAGATGTTGCTGGTGTTATAATAGACTGATTAATTAGTACATGGGCAGTTACGAAGCTTATGATTGAGGTTGAGAAACAGACTTAAATCGTCCATCGGAATGCATAATATCACTTGTCTGTATCAAGCATAAATGTATACTCAGCTGAATACAACATTGTGGAAATAAGTGTGACCTATCAGTCGTGAAATACGGGAAGCTGGTGCAGAGGCAAAGTGCAAGCTCAAGTTGGCACCAGTCGTGTGGCACGTACACAGTCACAGGCCCTTTCTCATTTCTCTAACTCCCCTCCTCGACTCCCCTCCTCGACTCCTATCCTCGAGACTTAGTCCCGCCCACAGGAGATGCGAGCGGAGGAGCCGAGGAGGGGAACCGAGGAGAGAGGAGGGGAAGCAGCAGGCGGTTAGAGAAATTAGAAGTCCTCTCCTCTGAGCGGTCATCTAAGAGACGTCCATTAATGATGACAGGAGGCACAGCAGCACTCAGCTGTCTGATGGACAGATGTGTTCATGACGACTTATATATTTACTTTGATTCATTCACAGTGCGGTATAATGAGACAATAACAGGCTACAGATGCGGACACACACACACACATATATATATATATATGTATATATTTATATAAATATATACAATTTCAGAATCAAACAGAGCACTCTCATAATAACGAAAGACTATCAGAGACTGGGATTTGATGAAATGAGAAATGGCCACAGTCTGCAGGAGTCCCTGGAGGAGGGGTAATAGAGAGAAGCGAGTAATCTGATCAACAAGGGTTAGATGAAACATGCTTAATAACAACAAATGACACAGGCTAATAAAGGGTGGCAGCCTTGAGATGTCTGATTACTCAATCTTTATTTTTACTTGAAACAAAAAGTATTTTGGCTGCAAGCGCAGGCTTATCCACCCCCCTCCTTTAAAACTATATATTTTACACAGAAACATTCACATTATTAGAGTACATATTGTATCAACTAATTCAACAATGCATGACACTGAATGTTAAATAACACCATCAATCACAAGTACAACGATATTTTGTCATATTTCAGGACAATATTTCTTAAAACAAACTATTTTTTGCTTTAAAATATATGTTATTGTTTTTAATTACTCAAAACACATTTAAATGTTAAAATTCCAAAATATGACTTAAGTATATTAAAGAAATGCTGTAATAAAAAATGCCCTCTTGTGTTACTACATATCCCATCAGACACTTCTTCTCATTTCCTGCTACGCGTGTAAACAGCGCAAAAGCCCGGCGAATAATGAGGACCACGTAAATGCCTGTTGTTAAAAACAAGTACACATGCTTTATTTGGCCTTTTAGAACTGTTTAATTCAGTATGTTTATTACCGCTCAAATTTGGTGACTTTTATGTTCAAACGGGTGTGTTTTTTCTAGTCACGTTGATAGTCCCTGACACATGTACAACACTCTGCCTCGCTACTCGCTACACTCGTCGGCAGCACAGCTTTCTGTAACGTTAGCTAAAACAGTTTGAATACATCCCTGACCGAGCATACAATAATTACATTCATTGAAAGAATACACTGCAATACCGAAAGCATGAATAGGCGAGAAGGTAAGTCCAGCTTTTGAGACTCAACTAAGATAACAACGAGCTGTATTGTTGGTTGTTGTCATCAGCATGGGATAGCATTAACTGAGCCATACAACGCAACGTCAACAAACGAGTTAGCTTGAATTAAAATGCAGCATGCTAGCTGTTTAGACTGCACTGCAATGACATAATTCGTATATTGATGTTTAAACTGTCTTTCTGTCCCTCTCTTATTACAGTACTGTTTGTCAAGATCACACTATAGCTCAAATTGTATTATTCTGTTAGTAAGTGACACTGGTCTTAGCAATGATAGCTAACGGAGCTGCAACTAAAGCATTTGGATTATTGATTTAGTCAGCCCACTATTTTCTCGTTTAGTATTTTGATGATATGGCTTGCCAAATGTGAGAGTAAAAAAAAAAAGAGTCAGAACCCCAAACTTATGTCTTCAAATGAGTTTGATCAGCATGCGAAACACACAAGGTGCCTCCATAAACATTCATCTGTTTGCATCTTGCAATTTAGTTATCTATACCATATTCCATTCAGGTATTTATAGACTCTTCTTGCACTATTTTTGTTTTATTTGTATTTACTTGCACATTTTCAACATTCTCTTGCACTATTTTATTGGTTGTATGTCCTATATATTATGTTGCATTGTTGAAGGAGCCTGGGACGTTTTTCATTGCCATATCTACACTGTAGCTACTGTGCACATCACAATAAAGCCTTGAATGTTGAGGTTAGTCACTTAACTATCATACAAAAAACTTCCAAAAAATCGGCAGATAAACATTTTTGAGAAGCTGTAACGAAGGATTCTTTGTTTTTTTCAAAACTGACCATTCATTTATTATCAAATATAAAGACAAATAGTTGCAGATTGTTATTGATTATCTCATGGTTGTGGCTCTAATTCCATCCCCACCTACCAAAAATAGTTGAATCTCAAAAACAAAGCTAGATCCTGCAAATCCCACAACAAAACCATATGTTTAAAGCTCAAAATCCAGTTTTTAAGACAGACTTCCATTAAATATGTATGTCTTTACCGCCATTCACAATAAACACTGTTGACATCAGTGCAAATGACTAAACTGATCGTATTGAGCAACATCGATGGAGTGGCTTTTTAATTTGACAAGGCCAGTTTTGAGAAATTGACAGCAAAGAGCCATTAATTATTGAAGACAACCTGCATACTTTATGCTTTGTGTCAGGTGAAGGAGGCTCCCGGAGAAATGCTGATGCAGCGCAGGATCGTGAAGCGAGTGCACAATCATCCTCACCGGTCATCGCTGCTTTCAAAGGTAACTGCACCATCAGCCTTTTTAATTGCAGTGTCACCGTCATGTTGTCTGGATTTCATTTGTGTCCAGACATCAAATTAACTTTGTTTTCTGTCTTTGAAGTTTTCCAACAGGAGCTTGACACCAAACACGACAAACATGAGCGCCTTGTCAAGATCAGTCGAGACGTCACCATCGAAAGCAAGAGGACCATTTTCCTTTTACATAGAGTGACCAGGTATAAACAATGATAACAATACATCTTAATTGGTGAATTTAAATGGGAGAATTCCTCTCATTTTCAGTTGGTACATATGCAAAACACAATATAACTTCTGTTTTCTGTACTTTTCTGATCTTGTATTTCTAACGTTTATTTTGTGTGTTTGTCTTTATTGGTAGTGTACCAAATGCAGAGGATATTTTGAATGAAGCAGAGTTGAAACTGGATGCAGTCAGGCAGAAAATTGGTCAAATAGCTGAAGAGCTCAGAGGAGAGGACATCTTTCAGTTCCACAGAGCGTTCACTGGAGGTGAGTTACCGTAGACCAGGCATCCTCAAACTACGGACTCCGGTCCGGATCCGGACCGAACCACCACTATCTCCGGACTCTGAGCAAATTATACTTTTCATATGTATTATCTTTCTGTATTATATGTGAGACATCGCCACAACGCATTCGCAACGAGTAAAAATTCTCCGCTATGTCCACTGCAAACAGCGCTCTGCATGTCTGACTGTTCCACTGTGTTCCACCTGTGTGTGTCAACGCTTTGGTCCAATCACATTCAGCATCCAGTCAGCGTTTTTTTCCCCCAAACAATCTACGAATCAGAGGCACAGTAGGGCGGGTCTTCGCGGAATGCGGGTGGGAAAAATGTGTGTGTCTCTTTCAACCTGTCTAAGTCAGAGCGAGAATTAAAAAAAAAAAAATTCAGAGCGAGAGTTAACAGCTCATCTAGTTCCATCTGTACTGTAGCTAGTAGCCTAGTTTCACCTACCGGGGTGGCAACTGACACCCTAAAAATAGGCCTTGCCACCCCAGCTGCCACCCCAGTTGGTAGCTTTGTTTTGAAAGAAAAGTTGTGGCTCATCGGACATTTATGAGAGAAAGTCTCTAATGTCCGAGTGCAAATGAATGCAGCACAAGATGCACGTCATGTAACCCCTCCCCCGGTCCTGGCGCGAGCGTGGATATACGATTGGCGGCGATTTCATTTTGAACTGGACGGCGCAAAACGAGAAGCATTCGGACCCAAGCACTGAAGGAATGAGGTATTTGCGGTCTACACTGACAGAGAAGAGACTGTCAGTTTGGCTGTACTCAGCATTGAATCAAAACGCACTAAAGCTGTTGATCTTAATACGTTTGTGAGGCGTTTTGCTGAACAAAATGGTAATCGCCGCATTCAGCTGTAATAGACATGTCAACTTGATGCTCTGCTCACGGATGAGCATACACAACTATTAAGATGATGACCTTACGTGTGTAAATATATTTTTTTCTTTGAGGCGGTCTGCCCCCAAAAAACTGTTTTAAATCCTGAGAAAGTCAAATCAGACGGTGTGTAAAACTACACTGCCCAGCCAAAAAAAAGTAACCACTTTGATTGAACTAGGCCAGTAGGTAAGGACTTTCCACTGGATAATAACTGCAGTATAAAAGAATGCATGACTGAAGTGATGGAGACCATGTTGAAGGCAAACAAAAAGAGGAAATAACAGGTCAAATCAAGCAAATCCCCTCTCAGATTCCACAGCAACCAGAAGAACATAAATACTGGCTGGTGATTTGATTCATCAGCTTTGTGATGGAATAAAAAATGCACAGCGCATTTCCTTAGCTGTGGGTGAGTCCACTGACACCACTGACAATGCTCAGTTGCTGGTGTTTGTGAGTTGTTATGATGAGGCAAAGGGGGAGTTTGTTGAAGATGTGTTGGGCCTGACGAACCTCAGTGGACACACAAGGGGGCAAGACATTTATAAAGCAATAATGGGAATGCTGAATGAAAGAGGGTGCAGCTGCCTTTATTCATAACTGTGCAGCTCTTACACTGCGACTCTGAGGGGTCAAGCACAGACACAATAACAATGAAAACTGCTGCATACAGATTATTTTTATTTTTGCAACCTCGTGTTAAGAATCTTGTTGCAATTGTTTAAAAGTTTGAATGACCGTAATAAACGGACCTTTGTCTTATTGAAACATTTATTTTGGACCTTTAAGATTTGTATTTGAGTACCCCTGCCGTAGACCTTTACAAACCCTTACCTTCATTTGCATAAAAGAGCATATAAAACATGTTTAGGGTTAAGCTTTGGGAAAAATAGTTCTGAAAATATAGAATACACTAATGTATATAATAAAAGTAGTTGGTAACCATCGCTAGTGTATTGCCACAGCCCTTTGCTCTGCAATATAAGCTGAAGATGTTATTCTACCACCTCTCATGACAAGATAATGAACCTCTATATACAGTAATCAAACTTCTGAGCTTTTTTATTATTTTGAATACTTTGGTTTATTTTCGTTCCTACCCTCACCTATGGTCATGAAGGATGGGTCATGACCGAAAGAACGAGATTGCGGATACAAGCGGCCGAGATGGGTTTTCTCCGCAGGGTGGCTGGTGTCTCCCTTAGGGATAAGGTGAGAAGTTCAGTCATCCGGGAGGGACTCGGAGTTGAACCGCTCCTCCTTCGCGTCGAAAGGAGCCAGTTGAGGTGGTTCGGGCACCTAGTAAGGATGCCACCTGGGCGCCTCCCTAGGGAGGTGTTCCAGGCACGTCCAGCTGGGAAGAGACCAAGGGGTAGACCTAGGACCAGGTGGAGGGATTATATCTCTTCGCTGGCCTGGGAGCGCCTTGGGATCCCCCAGTCAGAGCTGGTTGATGTGGCCAGGGAAAAGAAAGTTTGGGGCTCTCTGCTGGAACTGCTACCCCCGCGACCCGACCACGGATAAGCGGGAGAAGATGGATGGATGGATGGATGGATGAAGAAATACCTGCAAACTCATGTGATGTGACTCATGTGATCGACCTCAGCTGTACTTTGTGTTAAGTTTGAATTGGCAAAGCATGCTAACTCAGTAAACTGAGGTGGTGCACATGGTGACGTTTTCCCCTGCTGCTAGCATGCTGACGTTGGCATTCAGTTCAAAGCACCGCTGTGCCTAATAACCGCCTCATAGAGAGTATTTATTACAAATATTTTTGAGTAAGCATCTGATTGAATGCTCATATTAAGAACATGTTTGTAAATTAGTTCAATATATTTTGTAAATTATATATGTTAACTAAAAATATCAGTTTTCTTCTAAAAAACGTATAATAATATATACAAAAGACATACAAATACCAACATACAATACAGTTGCATATGCATGCATGTAGCCTATAAAGAATTGTAATTTTCCTGGATTCTGAACTTTTCTATAATTTTCTAACTATATTTGATTTCTCTATACATCACATGCTGACTAATCATATCCTTCATTCTGAATGAGATCGTCTGTAAGGTTCCCCTGTAGTCTTTAGCCTTAAATATAATCTGTATATCCATCATTATACTGTTAAAGGTCAAAAGTTTAGTTTCCCAGTCTGCTACAATTAGTGGATCAACGCATTGTTTTTCTCCAATATATATATGACTAATTACTGAAGTGAGAAACAAGCTCCAGCAGAGTGCATGTGTCATATAATTAGCAGCTTTCACTATGAAATGATCGCCTGAATGTGCTCATGCTTAGGATTGAATGCAGAGTAACTGACAGTGTGAGAGCGTGGCTCTGATGCAGGCCTGGATATGATAGCTCTGATAAACTTGTTTTCCCACTGGAATCAATATCAGTTTTTGTTAGCGTAGCCAAAGTGTCTGCAGTGTTTAGAGAAAAACATTACTGCGAGCGAGAGTGAGCTGTTATCTAGCAGCTGGGGAAGTCATTTTTAGATTGTGGTCACTTAGGAATCACCGCTGCATCCTCTGCGACGTGACCATTGGCAGTTCCCAGCAATTAGACGCTTCATTTTTTTCCATTTTTATCATCTTTATTAGATTGAGACTGGGCCCGCTGCACGGACTCACCAGATAATCTTGGCTGGACGAGAAGTCTCCAGTCATGTTTAATGGGTCTGCTTTTTTTATATATATGGACCATTAAAGATAGTGTGGACTGAATGTGAACGTAATTGCCACTGATAACCGGGGTCCGCGGCCCTTTGAAAAGCTCTTTAGCCCGTGTACTGGTGGGGCCCAGGGTTCACCTGCAACTCAGTGAACGGCTCTGGGGTCAAACATTAAACTTTAATAATCTGTAACTCATCTGGAGCAATTAATGCATACATTACACTACTGTTCCATTCAGGCCGTACGGCTCTGCACCCTCAACTTTTCCAACCGCTATTCCAGTGAAATCCCTCCAATTTCCACTTGGTATTTTCCTTGAGTCATTGTTGAGAGATGTACAGTCATTTTCTGAGTGACCAGAGGTAACCGCTGCTTCAGACTAAATAGCGCGAACCGCTCCTGGCAGCAAACGCAGGAACTGAGCTCCGCCTGCCTCAAAGCCTGTGAAACCTTTTCATGTCATAGCCTGTCCGCCTCAGATCGAGTTGAATTTAAACAAAAGTGTCACATCTGTCGGGCAACCGGCAGCGTTTAGTTGTTTGTAGTGTTATTATGTGTGCAAGTCGATTTTGACAAGAAAGCTACTGGAGACTTCTAGAATTGTGTAGCACTTTCCTGGAGCGTCAGCTTCAGCGTCAGACAGGCTCAGACTGGCAAAGACATTAGAGTCCTACAGGAGTCACGAGGGAGGCAAAGAGGAGGCAAATCCTACTTTGATTGAGCTAAGTATCGCTGGTGTTTTTATTTTTGTTTTATTTTATTTGGTTGTTTAGCCCCTCATGCTATAATCATGTGTATTTTCTCCATTCCTGTTCATGTGTCTTCTCGCAATTATCACTGGCCCCGTGTATCTCGTAATCGATATAACCGGCCTGCTCTCGTCTATCCCACATGCTCCACTGAGATCCAACATCTAGTTTCAGGGGGCCTGTGGAATTGCCAGTGAGCTGTTCCTAAGGCTGACTTCATCTCTGGCTATGCCTCCCTGCAGTCTCTGGATTTCCTTGCTCTCACTGAGACCTGGATTACTCCATCCAACACATCCACCCCAGCAGCTCTCTCCACTGCATATTCCTTCTCCCATACACCCAGACCAACTGGCAGAGGAGGTGGCACTGGTCTCCTGCTCTCTCCCAAATGGAGCTTTTCCCTCTTCAAGCTACCTAACTTCACTCCTTCCACCTTTGAATTCCATGCCGTCACAGTAACCCATCCTATACAGTTAACCATTGTTGTTCTCTACCGTCCACCAGGCGCCTTGGGGGACTTCTTGGAGGAATTAGATAATCTCCTCTCACACATCCCTGAAACTGGCCCTCCCGCTGTACTTCTCGGAGACTTCAACCTCCAGACGGGGAAGATAGACGAACTAACATCTCTGTTAACCGCCTTTGCTTTCTCACT